AAAAATCAATGAAAGGGAAAAACCATTGGGTAGACTAATTGAAATGATTATAAATAATGATTTTTTTAGAAGGAAGGCATTAATACAATATATCAAATATATATTGTACAAAGCATATTATATAATTGGGGTTGAAATAATCTAATAACATGATAACTACTCTTAAGATATTTAATTTGACTAAAAATTTATTGAAATCGTAGTTTTGAAGATCCCAAATTTAATTTCGATAGGTTCAATTCAAATATGCCTCTATATTCACGCCCCATTAAGACTTTGATTTCTTTTGGGATGGCTTTCTTACTACTTCTTGAAATAACTTTTTAATAAAATTTTTTAATTTATATACTAAATGCTGATTTAAGAAGTAGTAAGAATGTCGTCCCAAACGAAGCCTATATTTGGCGCCGTATCAAAATTAAATCAAAATATCTTAATATTATTTTTTTTTAAAAAAATTACTATGTTAGAGCATACTAATCATTTTGGTGATTCAGGAATACATGTCCTCTTCGTAATGACCAAAAGAAATAGTTTTGTTGCAATCGTATGATTAAAGGCTTGCATATAATTCCAAGAAACTAAATTATAATTTGATTGTAATCAACTAATCATAATAGCTTAGATGTTTTCATAGTTTTAATAATTTCTATAATATCATTAATGGTAATTTGGATAGAGATGAACTGGAATTGTCTTCAGATTAGAAATGATTATAAAAGATGAATAATGCAGGCGTCCACATATACTTGCTTAGTTGCTTGCAATCAGTATTTAGTTATCCAAGTCATATATAACAACACCAGCAATTGTATAAAGGACGACGGATAAAGTTGATTGCTTTGAAAAAGACAACGGGACGAACAGCCAAACTGTAACAGCACCAATAGATCTCAAGGAGGCGATAAGCTTACACTATATCCATATATTTATTATTTTTATTTTTATTTTTAAAGGGAAACAGGATCAAAGATCCACCGCAAAGTTTATAGGTAAGTAAAATTATAAAGAATAGATCATAGATATGTCTAAGAATAGAGAAATTATTCTGTGCGGAGACCGGATGCAGAACGCCGTCTAGAGACCAATCAAAATTCGTCACGTCAGCGGTACCGAGCAGTATTGAGCCGCAGTACCAAGCACAAAGGTGATGTAGTGCATTCTAGTTGGTCTCCGGACCGCATTCGGCGTCCGCACAGCATAATTAATACTAAGAATAAAGGGAGAAATAAAAAACCATAAAAAGACTCCTCATTAATGAAGGGTCCACAATTAGGTAAAATGAGCCGCGATACCGAACAGTATCGAGCTGCGGTACGGAGCCACAGTACCGAACATAGGGGTGATATAATGCATTCTGATTGGTCTGCGGACCGCATTCGGCGTCCGCACAGAATAATTAATCCTAAGAATAAGGGTAGAAATAAAAAACCTTTAAAAGACTCCTCAGAAATGAAGGGTCCACAATTAGGTAAAATGATAGAAGTTGCGGAGCAAATAAACGGGTAGAGGCCATATTCAGCAGAGTTTTAAGTTGGTGGGATCCTTTTGAGCGCTGCTGGTATCAAAGTTTGCCTTGACCTTCTTGGCATTGGAGCCACGAGCATAAGCTGTTAGAGAAAATAAAAATAAAAAAATCAAGTGAAATATTGTGAGTCAAAGAGCTGGGTAAACAGAGTCCGAGTTCTCCAAAAAACTGTTAAAAAAAAAAGAGAGAAGAGAAAAGAGAAAGAAGACATTCTAAGAAAATGAGGGCTTTAGATGATTGCATTGATGTCATACTATATAAAGAGAAGTATATGTATGATATAATACAACATATTGAATGACTTCTGTAATATTAAGCACTCCAAATTCTATCATAAACTAGATGACGAACAAAGATAATTGAGCTATTCTTTATATTATTAATCCAAACAACTATCTATAGATGCCTAACATTTATCCACACATTTAAAATTGATCTTTCCCCTAAGGTAGAATCATATAGCAAGGCGAATACAAAATAAGGATCCCATGCATAACATTCAAGTCAAATAATGAAGCCGATTATGCTGATGAAGCTACAGGTGGTAGGCGATCATCAAGCCAAACTTTTTTTTTTTCAGATTATTCGTAATTGACCATTGAGCTCTCCACCACTTTAATTGATTTATATAATAGTGATTTGGGTTGGCTTGAGCATGATAAGAGTGTCTTCAGAAATTACAAGTTATAGAAATTGTAGAGGGAGTTTAATGTTAGTTTGAATCAAATAATGAACTTGAATAGGAGCTTGCATTGCCAATGACATCAAGCAAGGAGCTTGAGAATGCCCTTCTATTTTTTATTGGACCATTGGAGTCAAAAAAGATGTGTCAACGCTAGGTTGAATCACACAAGGGGGTCAAGTCGATGATTGTTATTTGTTAAGTATCTGAATGCATTGAATATCACATGCCAACCATCAATGAACTAAAAAGCTATAAGGAGTTGCGTTAATTCTAATGATATGGAGGAGGAGCTAGAGATTTCTTTTGGAAAATTGGGATATAAAAGTTAAGCATGGCTCAAACTTTACTTTGAGCATAGTCAACCATCAATTGATATTCGACATAATTTCTAAAACTTCTAAATTTTATTGAACTTTGCGGTTAGTTGTCCGCAAAGAGTTGAGTCGATTAAATCTACGAGGATCAGTGCAAGTGTGAGTATACATAGAGGGTAAGATGAGTGCGTAAGGGAGTTCAGGAAGGGTGTCAGTCTGTATTGTTGGAAATAGGAAAGCTGTTGGCATTGACATCAATGCTGGTAGATATGATAGAGAGGACGAATATATGACTATAAGGGACAATCGACTCTATTTTACCCTGTTTTAGGGAGATCTAGATAGGAAGATGATAAATTGAGTACAAGTAGAGGTATTGAAGAATGGATAGATGATGAAATGTTGGGACTAACATAGATGGATCGACAATAGGTTGATGGTCACTGATGGTGTTGATCTCCACAGAAGTACCAAATTGTTAAAATCCTAGAGAAAACATGAGCTCTAATTTACTAGCACCTCTATGAAAATGAAGGGTTGATGAAGGGGGAAGAAAAAATTCTTATCAAATAAGTGTTTAGTTTATTTTAATCATGTTATACAACTTTAAAAATTATTGCTGCAAAATTGATTTCAAACCATTTTAAAAAGATCAAGGAGGGTAGAAGCAAGTGGGAACATAGTCCAACTAGTTATCCTTCCAAAATAAGAGTGAAGTATCTTTAGAGAAAGAGTATAAATTTCTATTTAAAAAAAAAAAAAACATTGTACTAATTTCTCTGATAAAAAGAGTCTCCTTTCTTTTGATGAGATCATGTTGGTTCTTGTCAATCAAATAGGGAAGAAAATTAACCAAGTGATTAGCGATAGTTTAAGTTAAAATTTTGAAGTAATCATTGAAGAGAATATTGAGACGACACAGCTTAGGGGGAGGAGGAGATTCTTTTGAAGTTGAGACAAATAAGGGCAATATCTATTTTTTTATAGAGAAGTGGTACAAGTGTTCCCGTCCAAGAAAAGGCAAATAAATATTCTTCCACAAATTCCTGAAATTTTTAGAAAAAAATAAAATGAGTGGAACCACTAGGACCAATAGATTCCTATATTTTCAAATAAAAATAGCTAATTTTATTTCATGCATGATTAAAGAATTATCAACGGTTCCTATTGATGGATACATGCCATTTAAAAAAAGATTTACATATGTGGCACTAAAATTTAAGCATTTATATATATAAGCTAAAATTCACTATTTATAAGGTAAAACACTTGGTTAATCTATCTTAATGGGCTCCATAATTTTTTTTTATGAAGACGAGGAAGTCAACATGAGGAGGGATTATTCTGTGCGGAGGCAGGATGTAGCACTACATCCAGAGGTCAATCAGATGCATCCACGTCAGCGGTATCGAGTCACGATACCGAGCGATACCGAACTGCAGTACCGAGCGAAGGGGTGACAAGGTGCATTCTAATTAGTCTCCGGACGATGTTCTACATCTGCATAGAATAATTTCTTCAAGATGAGAGAGAGGAGCGACAGCACATGCATCATATAAAGGGCTTGTGAGGATTCTTGTGGTAATTGCAGCCGAAACCAAGGTGCGAGACAAAGAATGTGATGTACTCAGCTTTATTTCTAATCCTTCATTTTCCCTACTTCTCATTTTATCCTCCTTTACTCCTTTGTATTTGGCAATAGAAGTGGCCAACGTTCCTAAGTTTCTGGCTATAAGATCAATGGCATGTGAAAGAGTGGTGAAGGATGACTAAATTATAACGGATAAGATAAGAGGGTATTAGTTTTGATGTCATTTGATGTTTTAAATGTTATCTGAGTAGATAAGAAAAATCTAGTTGTTAAATATGCAAGTGGATGAATTTTTAATGATATATGTATAAAGATTATCCAAAAAATAGCCATTAGGTCTAAAGTCGGAAAAAAATATTATGTGCGGAGATCGGATGCAGAACGTCATTTGGAGACCAACCAGAATGTGTCACGTTAACGGTACCGAGTGAAGGGGTGATGTGGCACATTCTAGTTGGTCTCCAAACATCGTTCAGCGTCCACACAGAATAATTAATCCTAAAGTTGAATCAGGGTTGACTTTTTAGCTAAGTGCGATCACAAATTTTTTGAATTTTAACAATGCTAGTAAGGTTAGTTTTTTTTTAATGAAAATTTTGAAGCAATTAAGTTAAATTCACACATATATCACATATATAAGCTAAAAACTTAAAATATCTTCGAACATAAAATCTTTTGATTGCTATTCAAAACTCTCAACCAATAATAAAGGATGGGTTGAGTCTAGTTAGGTTAGAAAGAAAACTTATGGGACTCTGCAGCCACCGGGCAGAGGGACGGCAAACCCGTTCACACGTGCCAGGTACGTGCTGAACCAGTCTGTGATTATCTTCCAAATCCTTATTGGTTAAAGAATGCAACGGCTACGGCTAACAGGCTATTTAAACCCTCCGCAGTCCCCCTTCTTCTTCCCCTCCTCCTGCTTTCTCTTACTCTGTTTTGATTATTATCGATTATTCAGAGCTTTTTCCGTTTTTTATCCTTCCGCATTGAGCCTCGCCTTGTTTTGCCTGCATATTCCGGTAGGTTCCTCTAAAAGAATCATCTTCCTTCTATCCTTTTTCATCATAAACAATTCAAGGCTTTTGAGATTTCTTACATATATTTATCCAATTTTATTCTTTTTGTTCTTGGGTCTTTCAAAGTTCTCTTTCTTTGGGGCAGCTTTGTATGCTTCGCTAGATTTTTCTAAAGAATGTTAGCATCTATGAGATTATTTTGGCTTCCTATGTGAAAAAGATGAAAATAATACTTATTTCCGTTAAGCAAGATGATTAAGATTCTATGCCAATTGGTTTTCTAAGTTTTATATGTTTGGATTTGAAGGAATATTTTTTTCCAAATGGCCTACGAGAATCTGTATCATAAGGAGCAGAGGTCGTCGAAGGTGGATTGCCTAATCTTTGGTACGCATTTTGCCCTGAAACTTTGTTTTTTATATATCAAAACAATAACGTTTGTTATATGTTCCCTTTTATTTATCTATATTTTTTCCTTCTTTTTGGCGTGAACATAAAGATCTTGATGATACTTTATACCCTCTGAGCTCTGGCCTAGCTGGCGAGTGCCTCAAGAACATTGGAGGTGTGTTTCTTTCCAAGCTTTCTTCTTCTCATCCTTTTAGTAAACCCTCTTCATGTTCTCCTGACATGCTCTTTGAACTTATTCAATCCATAGAGTATATGGTGGAGAAGCTTGGGATTGAGAGGAGTAAGGTCTCAGAGCTAAGCAACCTGCTTTATAAGAACTATGGGACAACCATGGCGGGATTGAGGGTAATTTAGCTCATTCTAATGTCCTTTTTATCTAGTTTATGCTCATTATGAAATGTCATTCTGAATCTCTTATGCTGTTTGCGCCATTTATTTTCAAGGCAATTGGCTATTCTTTCAACTACGATGATTATCACAGGTTCCAGCTAATTCCCATATATTTTTTTTTCTTTTCTTCTTTTCATGTCATATTTGCTTAAATGTTAATGCTGTTTTCTTTGCCAAACTTGTAGTTTTGTGCATGGGAGGTTACCTTATGAGAAGCTGAAGCCGGATCCTATCCTTAGGCATCTTCTACTTAGCCTGCCAATTCGCAAAGTTGTAAGACTTCAGCAACTAATTACTACAAACAAAAGTACAAAACCAATACCCTCACTCTTGTGCTTCTTCACTAACTTCTGTTTTGTCTATAGATATTCACCAACGCAGATAAAGTTCATGCCGCCAGAGTACTGAGCAAGCTTGGTTTGGAGGATTGTTTTGAAGGAATTATATGCTTTGAAAGCCTGAATGATCCGAACTACGAATTGTGTGGTTCGAACAATCTATTCGATATTTTGGAGCACTCGGCCAGGCCTATCGCCGGTGCAGAACTCCCAAAGACACCAATTCTTTGTAAACCATCGGAATTTGCCATGGAGCTTGCTCTTAAACTAGCTAATATTGATCCTCAAAGAGCTGTAAGCATACCACTGATGGCCACTTAGGTTTCGTTTGGGACGTCTTTCTTAGTGCTTCTTAAAGCAACTATTCAGTACAAAATTAACTAAAAAGCCGTTTTAAGAAGCAGTAAGAAAACAGTCCGCAAACGAAAACGTTAAATATCCATATAGCATGAGGTTAAAAGCTTTCTAAATTATGTTTCAAATTAACGTTCTGTAGATATTTTTCGATGATAGCGTGCGAAATATCCAAGCTGCTAAAAGGATCGGTCTTGGTACAGTGCTGGTGAGATTCCATAACTATCAGTTTCTGTTATGGAATTGCTTAACTGAATTTTCTTTTTAATAATTTGATTGAATTATTTATTACATAGGTGGGTTCTTCACATGCGGTTAAGGGCGCAGATCACATCCTGGAGAGTATCCACAACATTAGAGAGGCACTGTCTGAGCTTTGGGAAGAAGATGAGAAGTCAGAAGATGTGCTGTATCAGAGCAAGATTGCCATAGCGACCTCGGTTACAGCCTAATTGATTAATTAACCGGCTTTGTTTCCGGTTACTATACTTACTATATATTTAAGTTGGTAAATCAGGGAATAGAGGGAAAAAAAAAAAATCGTTGCAGGATTTTTGTGTCTCCCAGTTCTGATTGTAATATAAATAACTAGTTAGTTCAAATTCTTCTTGATTTCGTGTTGTTGCTTTTGATGTGATTTTATATATAATCATTGATGCTGAATTTAGACATTTGAGAGAATGAAAGAATAAAGATGACCGGTAGAAGGAAAACTGAATAAGAAATGTGGAATTAAGAAGAGAACCTCAACCACATGATTGGGGTCTTACTATAGAGATCACATATTGTTGAGTGGAAAGTACAACTATACATGGAACAAAGAAGAAATAGAAAATTGTAGCGGAAAGAAAAAAATGTCGAGATTTAATGTGGAAAAGTTAGAGACTCAGAAAAAATCATGGAGCCACACCACATCGTGTCTAACCCAAAAATTTTGGGTCGGGTTCAGGTCGGGTTTTTGTGTCATGTCAAATATTGACACCCCTTGTTGGAGTGCCGCGACACTCAATTCTATGTGTGTTATCTGCATGACAGCACCAAGGTTTGGAGCGTCATAGTGCTACAGTACTCTTTGTCTTTTTCAATCAAATTATGCAGTGCTGAGGAGCTCTGGTACACAGTGCTGGGACGATGTGTGGGAAAAAAACTTTTTAGATGGAAAACCCCCTACAACCTCCAGTGAGATCAACAAATTGAATTGAGGTGTGAGGTAGCAATACAACTCGATTGATCAGCATAATCAGATTCCACACAAAAAACCAACACAGATTTGAGGGTTGCACACAATTTTGAGGATTGCTTTCTTTTCTTTTGGATCATTTCTTGTAATAGATTGAATCAATGGCTCATAGGTTTTGTTTTAAATATTATATTCTGAGAGAGCTTATGATATATTAAGCTTATAATCCCTTTTTACTTTAAAACATAGACCCTTTGTAAGTTTTATTAAAAAAAAAAAAAAGAAAGAAAGAAAGAAAGAACAAAAAAAACCAATTGAGTTTTTATATATTTATCTTCATAACGGGTTAGTATGGCATATCTGTGATAGTTTAGAGAACACAAATTCAAATTGAATTATCATAAATTCAAAATTTTCATAAGCCAAAAATATAATTCCTTGATCTTCAAAATATTTGGCCCAACCAACAGCCCATGATATCTGGCACTTAAAACCTGTAGCTTAGGCCCATTGGGACATTACAATTGTTCACAAGGCCTGTTTAGCTATTGTCGACTATGTCGTCTACAGTCAGCACTCACCATCGTATCGTCTCTCATGAATTGTTTGTTTAGTGCCCATTTAATTGTATGGAGATATAAATATATTTCAATTATCGTATGCATGAAAAGAATATTACATTTGAAAGGATTTGAAGATTTTTATCAAAAATAAAATAAATATTTATTGATTAAATTAAATTTAATAATAAAATTTAGCAAATTTAATGCTTTTTTAAAAATAAATATCCTAAACTATGAATATCCCAAATGTAAATTAATTATTATGGGGCTACTTTATTGAGAGTATTTGACACGACCCGAAATAGGATACGAATCCGGCCCGGAAAAATTCGGGTTCGGGTCAACCCGAACCCGTAACGAGTCGGGTTCGGGTTGAACAAATCAACCCGTTTTAAAAATCGGGTCGGATTCGGGTTGACCCAGCAACCCGAAATTGACCCGAAAACTCATATTTGACCCGAAAACTCGAGATTGATCTGTTTTTTACCCGATTTTGACCTGAAAATCGAATATTGACCCGGAAATTAGCAATTTTAGGTCAACTTCGGGTCATTCGTGTCGGGTCGGGTTGACCCAGACCCGAATTGGGTCGGGTTCGGGTCTAGAAACCCGACCCGTTTTTAAAAACGGGTTGGATTCGGGTTGACCCGAACAGTGCCGGATCAGTTCCGAGTTCGACCCGAATCCGACTCGCTGATCCGAATTGACACCCCTAGTATTTACATGGAGTAAAGCTTTAGATTGAACTCACCTTATAATTCATTTCCGATGTATTTCAAAATTGTCCGGGTAAGATAAATTCAAAACATAGCTAGTCTCACAGCTCCGCACACCCGCAATGTCCAGACTCTTGTGAGCTCCACACACCATGACCTCCTGCACATACGGCCTCCGCTCTCGTCCCAATTTTTAACAACATGCAACTCTCACTAATCCCAAGTACAACCATCAAAATGAAGCTCAGCACATCCGCATATATGCCCACATAACGACCTTTGCACGGTTGTTTTTATTTTATGGCTTAGGTTAAAATATTTGTAAGAAATTGAAATATAATTGAATTAGAAAGTAAAAATAAAAATCATAAACATACATATCATAATCTTAGATAGACCGTTTGAGATATTTTTGAATAACCATTAATATTTTTTTTTTATCTATAACTAATAAATCTAGAATGAAAGTTAATATAATAAAGCTCAAACATGTTATATTATCACCGAAAGAAACCAACCTAGTTAGGGTTCAAAACACTTAAGTTGCTTTAAAATTTGAAATTGATATTGAGGCCCCACAAAAGCAATGAGCATAGCGTTCTAGAACGCTAAAAGTAACCTAAATGTAATTAAAGGATTAGAGTACCATGGACCATGAGCTTCTCCGTGTCCTAAATAACTCTTATTAAATCATTTATATTTAGGCTTTGTTTGATTACCCGACGCCTTCTGTAAAAAATAGTTTTAAAATTTTTGTTTGAAAGAATTAAAGTTTTTAACGGAGAAGTCAATATTAAAAAGTTTTTGAAAACAGTACAAAAATGAAATTCCGAAAAAAAAAAAAGCAGTTTTACAAAAGAGTCAGATACATACAACCCATAAATAACTTTGCCGTTTCGAAACAGAAAAGACAAAATTAAGCCGTCTCAAACAAGACCTTAGTAACCTACCTAAGAGGACATCACTATGATGGTTGACTGAGCAAAGCCATATGTTTAAGTGGATCAAATTCTCAATTGAATAATCTTTTTTTATTTTTTTATTTTAATGTTAGTTTACATTTATATTTATTTGAACCATGTTAATTAAATTATTAAGAAATTTTGAAGTAAGCTTAAGAAGTCACTGATTGTGTATAAACTAAAATTTTCTGCAAACTAAAATTTGTTAAATCTGATGTTGCATAGAATTTTGAATTGGCAAGAGTAATATCTCGTGCAACTTGCCCGGGCTATATCTCATTTTGCCATTTACCAAGGAACTTTTATTTGGTCCGGTCACAGGATGTAGCTCTAAGTTCAGCCGCTAATAGAATCGCGCAACGCGTTCTCACTATTTACCTCGCGGACCGACAACCCGACCCGGAACGGACCCAGGATGGCTCGGTATTTCTCAATTTTGTTAGGTATTGCTCGATATTGCTAGGTATTGGTCGATTTTGCTCTGCAATAACCAATACTGAGCAAATACCGAGCAATACCGAGCAAATACCGAGTTGTACCGAGTTTTCTAGAAAAACTCGGTACAACTCGGTATTTCTAGAAAAATTCGGTACAATTCTGTATTTCTAGCAAATACCGAGTTTTTCTAGAAAAATTCGGTAAGAAAAAACTTGGTACAACTCGGTATTTGTCTTCACAGAGCCGTATTTCTCGTTATTGTCAAGCAATACTTAGCAATACCGAGCAAATACCGAGTAATACCTCGTAATACGCGAACATAGCATTCATGGGTTCCGGTTCGGGCAAGTCATCGGGCCGCGCGGTAAAGAGTAAGAGCACGTGGCGACATGTTATTGGCGACCGATCAGAGGAAGTAATAATTGTTCTTTACCAAAACGTTGAATTCGTACAACAAATTTATGAAGAATGCATTAGCTTATTTAGAGAATTCACCGATCTACTAAATGTACTCGCCAAAAAAAACTCATTGAGAATAGTAAGAGGTCCTTGCACAACAAGTGAAATAATGGCTATGTCATGTCTTAATAACAATAGTATATAGTTGATAGTTTGAAAAAGGTGATCCAAAACATATTCGACCATTTTGCACAAGTTTTTCCTCTTCCTTCTTCCCCTCATAGTTGAGAATCAACTATGTCTATTAGACAATGACACTGCTTAACTTTGAGAGTTTCTACTATGATTATTTAAAAATGATGAGCCTTATCTCCCTAAGGAGAGTACCATGGAAGCACAATTCTCTTGATGAGAAATAAAATATAAGGATCGATTAACAAATGCTTTCTATGTTTTAATTGTAGAGGTTTTGGACCCTTCGAAGTTATTATGTTGGTACTTGATTTCTATAATGATAAATCTAATCCCACTAACCATGTCAATCAATTTGGGTTGCTGATTTCTCTTCTAATTGTTAGTGACATGTTGAAATATTTTTTTTTTCTTTGCTACCTTCAAGGAGGCACCACTATGGTGGTTCTATAATTTTTCTTTAAAAAGCATCATATCTTTTATTGAATTTAATTAACAATTTACAATTTAGTTCATTAGTGCTTAGAAGTTTTGAAAATTTGTCAAGATCAACAAACACAAGAGCTGAATGAATCACTTCAATATTTGGTAATTCAGCTCTTGCCATAAATGTTGAATATGTAGAACTATGAATCTCCTAATACTCAAAAGGCACTCATTTAGGGCACTCATTTATGGCCTTCAAGAGGGCCAAATTTGTTATGCTCTTAACTTGCAATAGTTGAAGAAATTGGTCAATAATGAGATCGACATGCTTTAGAAAAATTATATGACATTGAAACCCCTTCCTCTCTAAATCTGTGAGAGATTCATAACAACATCCACATGCATGCTAGCATCAATATAAGTCAATTGACAATCCATATTAGCAATTTCAATAACTAATTGAATTATACATGAACTAAAGCGATTTTGCAATTATTGTCAATGGTTTAAAGATGCGGCTTCTTTTTAAAATGGATAAGAGTTGGATAACCAAATCAAAATGAAGTTGTGAATACACCAGTGGAGTCAAAGATTTTTTAGATTTTGCTAGTCAAAGTGTGAATCTATTAGAAAAAATATTATGTCCATGTAAATCATGCATCAATAGATTTCCTTCAATAAAAGATGTCAAGAAACATGTTATCTTCAATGGATTCTTTACATGATACATTCTTTGGAATCGACATGGGGAGG